GTTGAATGGAAACCAATCTGAGTGCAACCATCATTTTATTATGTGATGGATTGTGGAAGTCAGTGATACGCTTGAAACCAAGAAGGCATGAATAGAGTCGCTTGATTCTTAGGAGCCCAATATGTGACTTTAGGGTGAACCCGGTTAAACCAAAACCACCAGAGAAAATACAAAATGATGTATCACTTATATATATTTCGATTACTTTCAGAGTATGCGTTGGCCCTGTAGAAGTTTTCTTTCCAAATCCCACTTTCTCTGGATTCAATCTTACCCTAAACACCTCTTTAAACATTTGAGTTTGATCCTCACTGCCTTGCGGACTCATAAAAGAAGCAGAGCTGCTCGTGTCACCCCATCAGAGGCTGCATTTGAGGTCTCAATAAGAAATGACGTTCCCTTTTCCGGTTGTATAATATGATTAACTACCAGCAGATGCCGAACAGGCTGAAAACCCTGCAGTATATCGCTGAAAGAAACTAATTTAGTGCACAAATATCAATGAATATAGTTTTTCAGCAGCAGAACCTGAGGTCAAGGTGGTGCTGGAGCTGTGAATTTGCTCATAATTCTAGGGTTTAAAGAAGTTTCACAATACCAGGAGAGCATAAATACGTAATTTAAGTGCCATTACTTGGCCACACATCTTAAAGCTGTCTAATTAGTATTTCATAACAACACTGGATCAAATGACAAAATAAAGTGAGTGAAAATGGCTGCTTTTAGGGCCAAAGCAAATGGACTACAGTTCACCTTCACACTTAAGAGTTTAGTGTCTTTTAGCTTGTTGTTTTGGTTTTATAGCCCATGTCTTTTACTGTTTTGGTTCACATTAACAGCTCTCATCAATCTAGTTTTCAGACAAATACACTCTGATTGGCACACTGCCTCTCCAGCACCAAAGTTAGCAAATACCTCGTAAAGATTGTGGAACATTTAGCAGCCAAAACAATTTAAATATGCTTCCTTTGATAGTGAATTTTGATTGATCATGCGGTAAAACACGGCGTCAGATCAATGCTAAAGCATGCTCCAACACGTTCGCCTTAACCTCTTTATAAGGGGATAATAAGTCATTGTTATGTTACGAGCTTGAGCTAAATGAAGCATGTTTGTTGAGGTTAACTGAACATGGAAGTGATTTGAAAGAAAATCCCCAAAAATGTGTTGACAAGAGAAAGAACTAAATGTACCATATCAAACTATTTGCGTAACGCACAATATCATTTCAGCCACAATCTAAAATGTCAAATCAAAACCATTCATTTGTACTGACTTCTAAAAACCAAATCAGTGCACCAAGAGGGCGCCTAGAAATGTTTCTTATTGTTGGTTGTTTGGTAAACATGTATATAATTCTCAGTGTCATTATTCTGTTACATGAGAGGTGGCAGAAGCTGTGGGAACTTCCATCTTTATAACCCCAGGTGAGGCCAAGAGATCAGACATGCATCACTGGGAAGAGGATCGCATTACATTCCTTGCAAACACTCACAAACACAAGCTGAGCCGGGTCCTAAATATTTGTCCAGCCCTCAGGTAAATTCCACACACACACGTCATCCTTTTGCATGCAGCCATAGATATAGAAAGCACGGAGAAAGATAGGGCAAGAGGAGAGACTTGACTCTTTTTTGTGGTGTAGGATGACACCTTGAATTGGTCCATTACCACATTTGAATGCTTTGTAATGAGCACTGAATCTGTGGCACGCCTGGGAACTGAATGATTGATATGAGAGAGAAACATATGAGGTAACATATCTCAACAAATAAGGAACACCAGAGAGGAAATAAGGGATTAAATATAGACATTGACAGTATGAGGAAGTACAAAAGTGTGTGTTCGAGGTGTGAGAATGCAAACGCCACGAGCAGGTGGGAAACTGGAGCCTCATGTGAAGACTCAGCGGCAGGAACTGAGCTCAGCAATACACTGAGTCATTACTGAACAGCTACAATGCACTCACATTCCCCAAAAGTCCAGCCAAACACACACACACACACACACACACACAGACAGATGTCATCCACCCACACACACACACACTTCCTCTCCATCTTCTCCACTCGGTTCTCTTGACTTCTCACAGAGATTAAGTGGCCAGAAACGAGCGCTGACTCGCTGTCAGAGACGCTTAGTCAGGAGTGACAGCGTGACATCTCTAACCTGAGGGTCTGCAACACACACACACACACACACACACACACACACACACACACACACACACACACACACACACACACACACACACACACACACACACACACACACACACACTCTTTGTGATAACAACAGCAGAATGTTGATGAAGTATTACAGACCATAACAGCTAGATACCCCCAGTGAGAATAAAATCACTGCCCCTTTCATTTTCTCCACTTATTTCCCTTGCTGACACACACACACACACACACACACACACACACACACACACACACACACACACACACACACACACACACACACACACACACACACACACACACACACACACACACACACACACACACACCTTGAATGTCCAGATGCTTATAATGATATGTTTCTCTGGCCGGATGAGGTTGATCCTCATAAATCTACCACTTGAAATCTCAGAGATTACTAGGTTTATTTAGTCATACAATTTTCTATTTTATTCTTAGAAAATCTGATTTGAAACTAGCCATTCTCTGACTGCGTGCATAGGCATTCTTTAAGGCAAGGAAATAGGCATGTTTATTAAAAATGACCAACTGTTAGCTTGTTTCGCCTTAAAACTACTTTTCTTTTTACTAGTAACCAATACCTCACCAGATCAGAATAGTCAGTTTGGGTGTTTTCAGAGGCCTTAAAAGGTAAATCCTTCCAGTATTTTACAGAAAAACAGACAGGATTCTTCTGTTCTTCCTCTTTTGATGCTCCAGATTTTTCCATTTTTTTCTTACGACTGCTTTGGGGCGTCCCAACCCCCTTCAACATTTCCTCAAAACTGGCTGCACCGTCTCCTAACTGACATTGTATTTGTCAGGAAGATTCAAGACAAAAGCTGCAACGTTTTATGTGTGAAATGTTGATTCATGAGTTTCCATCTTGTCGATAAGAAGTAAGGGAAACATTTCCAGATAAAACTACAAAAAAAAAGGCTAAAATAAAGTCTTAGGTGAAGTATGAAAAGGGTTCTTACATCTAAGCCTTGAAGTACTAACTCATTTTGATTGTTTGGTGTTTAGAATAATTAAATCCCAGATGATTTTATGGTAATTACATGAGTTTTTCTACAGAGTAAATGACCTGTACGTGGCTACTATTTACTCTGGTTTGGAGCAAACTGAAGTTAAACATCAGTGGGCAAATGTTTTGAAACAGATCAACGCGCAACATTGAAAGGATTATCTCGCTGGTAATATAATGAATCACAAAGAAGGCTGAGACCAATTCAGACTTTTTTCAACTGTGAAACAGATGTTTTAATAAAGACATCAGCAAAAGCTGGCACGCGCTGAGCAAAAACAAAGTCAACGAGGACACCATGGAGAAAAACTTTCATCATCATGTTACAATTGATTTTACGCAGTCTAATGCAATCAATCGGGCTCGTTTCAGACATGACATCTTCTCAGAAGTGCTGGATCACCCTGGTGACTCCGCTGCAACGAGCCAAATGCAATTATGAATCAGAAAATAGAATCAATCCATTTGAAATGGAAAAACGAAAGAAATACTACTCATTGGGATGAAAGGATGTTCGGATTTCAATGTTGGCCACTTGGGGGCAGCAGAAACAAGCTTTGCAAATACTTGGCTATGTACGCCTCCGTTTGACAGAAAACAACATTTGGAGTCAGTGATGAATGTAGGTCCAATATTTTCTCTCCTTCTTGGTCTCCTCCACCAGCTCCTGTGGATAAAACCCTGGCTCTTTTGTTGCTAAATGCTTTAATGTTGACCCGCTAACTTTATCCGTCTGTGGTTTGGCGATGGGAAGGAGGCGGATAATGGAGATTTGCTCTGGAAACAGCTGCCTTCTACGTCTCAAAACAACGTTGATGAGAGCAAAACAACAGTGTTTCCTTACTGGGACAATCAAGTATATCGTATAGTATCGCGTTGAGAGTGAAACACAAAGAGGACATTTCTATAAATCTAATATTGTGATTATGTCGGCATTATGATTCAGATTTGCTCGAAATGTGTAATGGTTCTTCCTCAGACCGAGCGACATCCTGCCTCCAAGTGTTATGAAAACCAGGTTGTTTCCCTGTTATCCTCCAGACAAACAAAGCAACCAAAAATCTCCTTGGCGGAGGTATTCAACATGCCGAATGTTTGCCATGTGCTCCCAGCCCATCGGGTCATGCTTTTCTAAAAATGTGTTTCAGATGAAAACGTTATGAATAAATTAGATTGCAAAACTCTGGACTGTTTTTACAAGCAGCAAAGAGCCGCTTCCAGGTGTGACGGAGTGAAAACTCAGTGAGTCAATACAGAACCGAGTCTGAAACTTTATGAGTACCAGGATGAGAATAAAAGAGCGTGAGGCCCAGACTGGTCGTGGTATAAATAGTCCAGAATAATATTATGCTGCTTATGAACGAGGCAGAGGAATGCAGCGTGATATAACGTCTGAACAATCAGAAGCCGCGTTATAAGCAAAACAATAAATTTCAAGATAACAGTTTTCATTTGTATAATCAACTCTGAATCCAGTATTTAAATCAGCTTAATGAATTTAAATGTGTTTAAATGACTGTTTAATGTTAAGTTTTGGGTTTTTAGCAAATGTATGGCTATCATTAAGAATAGTATTATTATTTATTAGGATCCCCATTAGCACTAGCATTAGCATAGGCTAATCTTCCTGGGAAAAAAAGCCAATTTTAAAGAAGGAACATTCAAATAAGTTCATTCATCTTACTCTATTTTCTATCTGATAACAATAAATACAATTAAAAAAATAGATAAGTACTTTGTTTGAATCCGAGTTTGCCAAAAAATTAAATAATTCACAGGACAAAAGATAACAGTAGTTTCATTTTTATAATCAATCAGAGATTATTATGGACAATTAAATATGTTAAAATTACTCGTTTAATGTTTAGTTTTGGGGTTTTTACCTATTTTTCTATCCAATGACAATAATAATAACAATAAAAGAGAGGAGATTAAACTCCGAGTTTGGCAAAAAAACTAGTCAAAATTCACACGACAAAGAAACACGGACACATTTAAGTCAGTGAAATAATTTAGTGGGACAAACAATTGAACATATACATAAATTAACATGTGTCATGATTCTCTCATTGTGTATTTTGTAGCCCTTCCACAGGAGCCTGACACACTTACACACTTCCTTCAATAAGGCATGACATGGTTTTTCAGCATGTGTTTAATTTGTTATATATATATATATTTGAATATTACTGCCATGTTGCCATTCGGAGTCTGCATGGCAACACAACACTGCATAGTTCTGTATAAAGAAAATACAAAATAAAAAGTATTCATTTGTGGAGCGAGTTCCCAGGCTGTCATGAAGTCTTTATGGAGTGTAAAGTGTGTGTATTAGATCCTCTTCTCACACTCCTGTATGCATCACCCCCCGAGGCTACAGGAAGGAGGGGAGGGAAGGAGGGAAGGAGGGGAGGAACGGGGTGAGTTCATGCATCCATCAGCCCAGTTTGGAGCTCTCTGTCTGGGCTCGCAGGGCAGCACGGAGCGCCACAAAAGACTCCCAGATGATCTCCCCCCACTCCCTTTTAATGTGTATTCTGTTAATGTGTAGTAGATAAGATAATGACATGGGGGTTGTTTTGCTTCTTGGACTCACATTTCTTTTGGAAAAGGGAGAAATAAAGAATGTGAAAAGTCAAATAAAGGAGCAGATGTGATGTGATCCATTCGTGTTCTCCCGTGTGTCTGCACTGCATCCTTCTGAACGAGCGATGGATGGATGAGTCATTGTTTCTGAGCGGTTTGTTTCAGTTTTCCAGCGGTGCAGTGTCTTTGGGAAAAGCCCCAAAAAACAACATCCATTGTTCTCTAGTCGCCGGTGCAAATGGAGCTCGACTTGCTTGGCTTTCTGTGAAGCTTTCTGACGGCTGAAGAGGTCAAAAAAAAGGTGCGTTTCGTTTTTCCAAGCTGGTGTTTTTTTTATCTTCCCCGCTGCTCTACAGAGGAGGGTCAGTTGAAGAGGATGGAGTCGGGGTCTCTGTTGGCGATGTGCGCCATGTGTTTCAGAATGTCTTTCTTAGTGATGATTCCCAGCAGCCTCCTGGTGACAGAGAGAACAGAACGTCAGGGAAAAGCAGATTACTTCATATCATACTTTGTCCGCTTCGTCACAGAAAGTCAGTGAGCGGACAGAAAGCAGAGACATCGAGCCGAGGTCTGGTCTGCAGGATTTTGTGTTTGCTTTACAAATCAAGGCATACATTACGTTACATTACATGATACTTGTTAGACGCTATTATCCAATGACTTACATACTCGGTACTGTGGACACTCCACACTGGAGCAATTTGGGGTGAAGGGTCTTGCCCAGGGACACAACCAGGGCCGTTTCTAGCTTTTTGGGGGCCCTATGCAAGATGCTGTTTGGGGGCCCTATGCAAGATGCTGTTTGGGGGCCCTAGTCTTTACAGTTTTTTTAACTACAAAGCTTGGCTGTCTACAATAAATACAGCTAATTGTAATTCTCCCCAAATATATTGAGGCTGAACCTGAACTTTCAGCTTGGGGGCCCTATGCCCTGCATAGTCCGCCTATAGGAAGAAACGTCCCTGGACACAACGACATGCTGACTGCAGTGGGGTTTGAACCTGTGCCCCCCTGATCTGAACACCAACGCACTAGTCCCACTGCGCCACAGCCTCCCTATATCATATCCTGACATAGGACTTTTCCATTCAAATGACAAATAATACTATGGTAAAATAAAGTTAAAAAACCAACAAAAAACAGTTACAAGTTACAAATAAATAAGATAATTATAAAAAATAAATTAATAATAGTAAAGTAAATAAAAGCATTGTACACAAGGAGTGACATCTTTAGCACGATCGGTTACACGGGGACATTTTCCATAATGTTCTTTTGAAACTCAATGAAGTTAAAACAACCCTTTTCAACTAGCTAGACCTCCAGGTATCTTTTAACACCGTTCCACCTTTTAGTCATTAGGAGACTTGCCGTCATCTTTTCCATTGTGTAGCCCTGTTTGAGTCTGAGGTTTTACGTTTGTCCACTTCTGGCCTGAGGTTTTGACACAGTTTTTATTACCGTCCCAGAGGGGGCACGCAGCGGGGGATGAGAGCTACACGCTAACACAAAGTGAACAAAGGAGAGGAGGGGACGCTGAAGACAATTAGTGTCATTGTTAGCTAATGAATGTTTCCATGCTGACCAACGGCAACATGACAACGTTTTCATTGGTGTTTGTACTCCACTACTTCCCACCTCTGAACACGATCATGTTCACACTGGGAACTCCATAAAAAAAGCTGAAAACAAAAACATAATTGGCAACAGGTCATTAAATAAAATGTATCCAGATTTCGACAGTGAACATGTGTGTTTATTTAATAGTGCGTGAAAAGAGACACTATGTCAACTTTGACGGATGATATAAAACGTTCTTATTAATCATCCATAAAACACGCTGTGAGGTTTTACTGCTACAAGCTAACCAGGGGTGTTTCTCAATGTCGAGTACGCTTGCTTGGTAGCACATGTCTGCCGAGCATCTTGCTTCAGAAGCGAGGCAAGAATACTTCCTGGCATTCGGAAAACGAAGAGTGGAACAGGCTAGCAGGTGTGCGTCATATGAGAGGCCCCGCCTTACATCTTCCGCCACAGATTTTGGGGAAATTGGTCCGTGCGCAAAGCATTGTGGGGATTTTAAGACCGCGGACTCTACA